GCCACCTAGGAATTGCAAGGCCCCTGGCCAAGCGTGCCCATGAGGCTGAAAACACTTCTCGATTAGATAGTTCATGGCATACTAGGCTTCAAAGCACAGTCAATACTGTAGGCACTGCAGGCCCCAATACCGGTGCTGATTAGCACTTGTTACTTAGCACTACTGCCCCGTGAATTTCACAAACACATTTCTCCCAGCTGCTGATAGCACCGCTACTGGTTTTTGGTTCTTATTTATTCCGCATCCCGCTGGGATTACGACGACAGCTTTTCCTTAGGCAAGCTACTGTTGCCGTCAGTGGCCACTTCCTAGTGCTTGTGTTCAAGCTTCAACTGCAAGCCGCGAACCGGCCTATCCTTGCCAGGGAGTGTTCAATATCAAGGGGGGTATGTGAAGCACGAGCAGTATTTCGGATAGGGACTGGTTTCCGCCAAACCACATTGAAGACAGGATACCTGGCGAAGACTACAAACTCCGAATCTTACACATGAAAAGCCCGATCACCAAACCAGCAGCCGTGTTTTGGACTCTTCAGTTTACATTGCGTGCGGTCTTCGCAGGCTTTACTGTCTTGCGGCTACTGCAGCCTGCAGTGCCCTTGGAGTCCTTGTCGTTCTACGTTCCTTGCACGTTCTGCGATCTAGATAGTTTAGCAAAGAAAAAATTAGAACACCCAAAAAGCCAAAGATCCAGTGTTTTTGTGCCAGCTCGGAAGCTTTTGTTTTGGATTAGTTGGTCTTTATTGTTTTTTGTTGTATTCATAGATGTATGATTTTACCACACGAATCCACAGACTTCTTAGGGTTGTTAAAGCCCACAAGCATCTGCAGGCGTTGCAGGTTTCCTCACTGAAATTCAAAGCCTTTCATGTGTTTGTGATGGCGAACCCGAGAGCACACCCAAAACAACCTAGGGCAAACCACAAACACATTGGCGAAGCCCCAAAACTTTTTGGATTAGGAGTTCTTCTTGGTTTGGGCCGTCGTATGCTCTGTTAAAAATGTCCTTCGCTCTGAGTTGTACACATATCAATATTTCGGCAGACACGAGTGTGCAGGATTTGGGGGCTAGGATTGTTCGGCAGCAGTTGCGAAGTTATGAGTTCAGGCCATAGTAGAACAAACAATATGCGGGGCACGATTACCCTCCACGACACGTTCCACACGGCATGCGCAGTGCAAAGTATGTCGGGGTAGGTCACTGGGCGGGGGCAGGTTTGAGTATTATATAGGTTTATGTAATGTACATGTCTATGTTTATGTGCATGTATATGTATATGTATATATTTATGTGTGAAACATGTACTGAGGTATAGATTATATACATGCCGAGCTAACATGGTTTGAGCCGTGGGTTTTACACGAGAGGCCTGAACGTCGGATGGTTGGTGACAGTATGATCTTCCTTCACTTCTGAATCTGAACCGCTTGTGGTCTTGTCTATACCCAGCTTCGGTTTTTACAGAGGTGTCTTTGTCGAATGCGTCGCACAAGCGTACTGAACATGGCTGGTCAGTGTTTGCCAGCGTTCACAAGTGCTCGAGGCGTGGGCAGAAAGGTCTTGGCAGGATCTTGGCACTGGACGTGAGCGCATTCCGATTCGAGGAAGCCCATCCAACTTGTCGAAGCAGATCTCACGAAATCCTAGGCATTCAACACCCCGAAAATCGTAGGAGATTCCCACGAAGTCGCCAAGAGAAAAAGGATTTGCTCCTCAGTTCTCACGATCGGATGCACTCTTGATGTCACGTCTTAGCACCAGGCTCACGACGTTTTCGGCAAGACGCTGTCTTTCCTGCAGGCAGATGCTTGATGCTTGATACTGCGTGTTGTTCTTTTAGCTGTGGACACGAGTGTCGGGGGTGATCCGAGAGGTTGGCAAAGACACCGAAGGGGCTGCCAAGGCGAGTGCCCTGTCATTGTTGGCGGAGGTTGGCGAGAAAAAGAGAGACGACCGGGGCTTAGAACCAATGCTGCTATATCCCAGTTTCTCCTTTCCCTGGCTCATGTCGCTCCCAGGCTCGCTTGGCCACATTGGCGCTCACCATGCATCCTGTCGAAACATCTCTGGTTCTTTTGCGTAGATTGAGTCGCAGCTGCGAGCAGGCATAAGCTCTTAGCCCGACACGGGCACACATGCATCAGGAAGTTGGACACCTTTGAGAAGGTCAAAAAGGCGATTGACGAAATGAGGGCAGCCCTCAAGAAGGAGCAGGAGGCAGAGAAGAAGAAGAAGGCACCGGTTCGTCTGCGAGTCTTCCTGTTCAAGCTCGCTCGGACAGCTAAAACCAATTTTGCTCTGCGTCACTTCGGCAGAGGATGGCAAGATTGTTAAGGTCGTATGCCAGCTTTGTTGATATGGTAGCAGCGGGAGCTGCTGCTGTCTTCTCTGCCTACTGCGGCATTGTCGTGGTTAGGAGTTTCTGGTTTATGCGTTACTGCTTTTGCTCTTTGCCTACTGCTGCCTTGTCGTGGTCAGCAGCAGTTTCAGTAGCGGCACAAGAAGAAGTACCAGCAGGAGCAGAAACAGCAGGAGTGGTAGCGGGAGCGGGAGCGGGAGCGGTAGCAGGAGCGGAAGCGCTGGAGCGGGAGCGGCGAAACAGCAGGAGCAGGGCCACTACCACCACATACCACCACATACCACCACTACATACCACTACCATCCCACCACCACCACCGCCGCCGCAGCCGCCACCGCCACCGTGAACAACCACCGCCACCATGACCACCTCCACGCCCGCCGCCGCCACCACCACGACCAGCAGCACCACCACCGCCACCCGCATGTTGGACATGGCTGTTGTCATCAAGAAGTATGGAAGAAGACATCGTCTGCTGCGAGCCTGTTTTGTTGCGAACCCTCCTGCTTGAGGTGGAGCGTCGTGCTAGCAGAAGTTGCTGCGAAGGGAGTGCAGATAAACTTGTTGGATCGTAAAGAGCCCTTGTGCTGCCTTGTCCATTGTCCACTCAAGCAAGCCCAGGGTGTCACCACGATTTCCAAGATGAAAACTGTTCAGATATAGGCTGGTGTGTAGTAGTGTAATATGGCTTGATTTACTAGTGAGCCGGAGGATTGGTGCACGTCCGAGTTTCAGAAGAAGAAGTTGGAAACACAGGACAGGTTGTGCCTGCATCACAACGCGTATGCCCTCTCTCGCAGTGACAGGAGAAAACTCACGAAGAGCAGACCAAGATTGCTGAGATGGAAAGCCTTCAGAGCTCTGTCTCACAGTTGGCTGGGGACATCAAGCCTGTTGCTCAGCCCTGGAATGGTCAGTGCTATATGGCAACAGGAAATTGTATTGCCGAGGCTCTTGGAGGACGAGGCGAGCAGTCGAGACACGAATCGAGACTCTGATGACACAGCTCCCACGGCGTGCTCCCACATCGCGTCTTCTTGAGGTCTCCGAAATGAACAAGCAGCTTCAGGTAGCAGGCCAAAACCGCGAGAAGGAAAACAAGGACCGAAGTGCCGGAGGAAGCCGTTAGATGCTTAGATGTGATGATGCCCACAGACACGAAGATTTCTTAGCAGTTCATGCCACAGCAGGAGTTCCAGAGGGTCGTGGGAGAGCAGCGCACGACCCAAGTCCTTCTGAAGGAAGCAATGGCATCTCTGAAGACTGTTTATGCCAAAGAGGTGGGGTTTGAAAACCAGGCGTTCCGTCTACAGCCGGTGCAGCCTTTCTCTTGGGAGGCCGCTTTCCTGCAGGAATCCACATCGAAAGTCGCAGGGGCCTATGGGGAGGAGCCTGAGTTCAAGGCCTGGAAGATTTTAGTGATTGGAGGGAGACAAGACGAGCCAAGGGGCCAGGCTTCCTTAGCTTCAGTTCGAACGGTTGGGAGGACTTCAAGCAGCAGTCTGGCAGCTATGGCGCAGCAAGCTCACTTTCGGACGAGTGCAAACACGTGTTTATAGCTTTGTAGCGGCAGACGACCCCTTTCAGGTGCTTAGCATGCTGCAACAGTTGATCGGGGACTCGAAGGCGATGGAAGTTGAGGCCCCGGGCCCCGGCCGGGCCCCGGCGCCGTGACCCCTCAGGACTCAAGCTGACCAGAATTGACGCTTTGACCAGGCGACACATGCCGAAAGTACAGCGCAAGAGGACTACGAGGTAGGCGATGCGGTGCATGGCAGAGTTCTTGAGTTGCTTTGGTTGCTAAGGCGTTTACCAAAGGGACCACCGTGGCTAGTCAGCAAGTGCAGGCTGCAGACAACGGCGTTCGCAGCACATCAACGCGCACATCAGGCATCTGTGGAAGCGAAGACGAAGGACATAACGGACAAAGATGCGGACAAGGGGGCCACTGAGGCTTCCCTCGTGGAGGCAGGGAGACAGAGAAAGCTCCTCGTTCCGCTCGTCGTCTAAAATCTCCAGCGGGACTTGCAGGCTCGGCAGTCCAAAGAAGGCCTTACGGCGGAGTTGGAGAACCTCGCCGCCGCCGTTGCAGAGTTGCACGCAGCACCCTGAGCTCTGAGCTTTGCGAGGGGACTTTCAACTTGGGACTCTCAGCTTCGAGGACGAGTGTGACTACATGCTAAAAAACTTTGATGCTCGGTGGCTGCCTCAGAGCTGGCAAGACTGGAGCGAGAGCTGTAGCTGCGCCCACCAAATTCGAGGCAGTCAGCGCGAGACGACGAGATGGAAGCCTTGCAGCAAGCAAAGTCGACGCTGTCGGGTGCAAAGGCGAGGGTCTCGGTGCGCTTCTTGAAGGTGCACGACTGCATTCCTGCACGCTCTGCTAAAGCGCGATTGGATGCTTAGGCTTGACGCTGACGAACGGCTGAATGACGGAAAAAATGCCTTTCAAGATTCCATTCGTGAAGGATCCATGCTTCCAGTGTTGCGGTCACCGGAGGGCTGTGCTGCTCAAGCCTTTGGCGAGTGTCCAGCTATGTAGTTAGTGGACATGTCGACAAAGAGGCAGTGCAGAATGTGTCAACGACAACAGCACAAACAAATCCGTTCACGGTTTTACAATGATTTAAAACGTCCAGCAATGGAAGGCCGCCAGCGACTCATTTGTCCAGCAGACGGAGTCTCAACCAATCCCAGAGCGTCCAGGGATCTTGTCAGGCTTTCCAAGCGGCGCTGCAGAGTCGCCTAGTCGACAGGCAGCCAAAGTTGCCTAAACCTTACGAATTGTCATCGTCACAATTAGCACCTGGTAGAGGTTCATTTTGGGTTTGAGTGTATCAATCAAGGAATCCCTTGCCGAACTTCAACCAGCCGCGCTGTACAGTGGCCACTTGCTTTTACCTGAATGCCAGCCATGTCAGGCATCCTGTGCATGTCTATGAAATTGGTGCTCAGGATACAGCATCGGCTCGAAGCTACCATCGCCGCTGCGCTGCTTGCGAAGGAGCTACTTGATGTGTGCAGAGTTACACTGTTACACAGCATGGCGAGTCACTCGAGTCACTCGTTCGGAGCAGGTCCAGCAGCCTCCACTCCGCGCAGCCGACGCAGCCGTTGCAGCCGGTGCAGGTAGCACCCCTGTACTGAATACGGGCCTGTTTCTGATGATGTGCGGGCGGGGTCGGCGGCTGCATCCAATCGAGTACACTGTGTAGACAGGCGCTGAGTCAAGAGGCACTGAGAGGGCTTGGGCAATGCCTGGACAATAACTTCTGTGCTTCCAGAACATGGGAGGGCTCACCGTCGCGTCTGCGGTCCCCGAGGGTGCACTCAAGGCAGGTGCTTGATTCATTCTGCGCAGTGCAATGTCTAATCCTCGCCTAGTATTAGGCCGAGACCACCGCTGCCGTCCTTACCACGAGCTGCGCGCCGGCTGCTGCTCCCGAAGGAGGACAGTCGGATGAAGCCGTGCTCGGTATTCCTCTGTTTCAACGCTTGCACAGGATGATCGTTCACGGACAGGCCCCCATCTCGGCAATCCGCGGCATGCCCAAGTGCCTTGCCTCTGGGACTGTACGAAGATTCGAAGGTGCTCAGACTTCGCAGCCCGAGGCCTTGAATGGCAGGCAAAAGAGGTAGTTGCAGTTGTGCTTCGGGCAGCTTGCTGCCGTTCAAGAGCTCTTGAAAGGCCGCCGCAGCCAGGCCAAGACGGATCGGAGACTTCAGCTTGGGCCTCTTCACAGCTCTACGTTGGAGTCGTTTCTGTAACCTGCCATAACCTGCCTCTGCTGATTTGAGAACCAGATCGTCATACACCGTGTGCCAACAGAGTCGAAATTGTTAACTTACAGTTTATTGCATTGACACGGGATGATACACTCGTACTTTGACAAATGCCACGACAGCAAGCGCTCGAAGCCGCCAACAGTACAGTACTACAAGCCAGAGTTTTCAAGTTCTTTTCATAAGCACGCACGCCAGCGTCGCCGGCGTTGAGAGCCATGGCACCTGGCACGAAAGAAATCCAAAGTATGCCTCCGCCCTCGCAAAAGCGCCGGTTTGAACCGCAGGCCTTGCTTTGCCACCGGAATTTGCACGGACCCAGAGTGATCGAGTCACGTGCCGTTCCATCCTTCAAGGATGACCTTCCTCATCCGCGGAGGCCGTACGACCCGTGCCATGCACCAATCTGCTTCTGGCTAGACGCGTCCAGGCAATGCCTCAACAGGAAGTTTGAGTCGGACCTCGAGAGCCGCTTTCGCAACTTCCTCAGGGACGCAGCACCCCTGGTCGAAGTGATGCTCTCAGCTCTCAGTTTCTGGAGTAAGGGAAAGTTCGATTCATTTAGCCGCAGGTAGGGTGGCTACACGGCCACACCAAGCTTCACCTGCGCGCTCCCTCTCCCTCCCTTTCACTTCTCTCTTCCTCCTCTCTCCGTCTGCATTCTACAGAATTGTGCTTCTACTTGCATTTTTGGGTTGCTCCGGCTCTGAAAATCTGAGCTTGTGAAGTGGACGCCTGCAGATCTCAGGCGAAGCCTTTTCCCGGCGGTTCGTCCAATGCATCGCCAGGAGTGGCCTTGGTCATTGGCCGTCGGCCACTCAGAGCTTCTGCCTTGGCCACTTCCTTTCAGCCTGTCGCTGCTCGGAGTCGTTGCAATGACACTGGGGAAGCAGGAATAATCGAGAACAGCGAGGCAAGCAAGACGGGGTGGGAAAGTTTGCGTGAGGTGTCGTCGGTGGCAAAGGCAAGCTGCAAGACATCGTGCTGCCGGTGGCATCCGAGGTGCTCATGGAGGCATCGTGCAATATGCAGCCTCTGAGGATTTGTCTTCTTGGGCTTGCATGTTTGCACATCATTGAACCGTTGTCAACTGAGCAATTCTAAGGGCCTGATAATGCAAGCTACAGCAGGCACGCGAGCAAGCAGGCTGAGTCTCATGCCAAGCTGTCTCGCTGGTTCCTTAGATGTAGCAGAACTTCTCTGGGCGTTGCACGCCGGATTTGCCGGGCGGCTGGAGATAAAGGAATGCATGAAACCGGCAGGCAGTGTTTGCAGGTGAATAATCATGGACACCAGGAAACAGAGTCCGAAACAGCGAAGACCCTTTCTGGTGTAGTTTTCGGGTGCCTTGGTCTCCTTTTGCCTCTTTGGCCATTGCAGCATTTTGGAGGGGTCTGTCACTTGCGGTGACGTGCGTCTCGACAAAGAACGGGCCCCTTTGAGCCCTCAATGGCCTTGCCGTCTGTCGCCAGGAAGGGCCTGGACACGGCTTCCTGCCGGATCTCTCTGAGACGCAGGTCTCAAAGTTGCGAGCCTTCCTGGACAACCGTGTGGTGGCCCACAAGGCATGCTCGCGAATGCGTATTCCGAATGTCAAGACTCCGCCAAAGTCATGCTGCAGCCTGATTCAATGTGCAGGGAAAGCCGCCGAATGAACGGCGATGGGCAAGTGTCAGCCTGGAGCAAAGGCACGCTATTCATCTGCTGGTGCAACTGCAAGCTTCGTATTGTAGGTGATCGTCAGTAAGAGTGCGTCGCACAGTTTTCTCAGGAATGCAGTCATATGTAAATGGAGATCTGTGGCGACTTTCTACTGCCCGGGGAGCAAATGGCACTATCAGCTCAGGTGGGGGCAGGTGCTGCTTTGTTTGTTGTCCTTGTAAGCTTCGAGTGGCTGCCAAGGATCCGCGAGCCGCAGTCGACCGAAGGACCCCTGGCAAGCCTGTATGCATCGGGACTAGTGGGCTAAGCTGGTCGGAGGAGCTCGCAAAGACCGGAAGGAATTCAATTTGGTCTTCCAGAAGGCTCTGGCATCAGCTGTGAGAAGCGATCTGCTCGCGTCTGCCATCCCCCGCTTTCTATAGGCCAAACAAATTTGTGTCCAGCTTGGTGATGTTATTCTTGAAGTAGGATGGGGAAGGGTGTGGGGGGAGGAAGAGGGCAAGGAAAAAGTGAGAAGGAGCAGTGCAGGCCTCGATCTCACTAGTTCTAGCTGCCTCTAACCTTTTTTTACTCCCCCTCTCCTTCCCTCTTTCAGTTTCGTGTGCTGCAGCTTTCCGACCCGGATTTTGCAAAGTCAAATTAAAAGGGGGTGCCGGTTTTAATCAGCACGAGGGATTGCAAAGGTGCCTGGTGGCCAAGACCCAACATGGACGGTGTCTATCGTTCAAGAAGCAGAGCAGATCTGGACAGAGGTTCGCATGAACGAGGCCACAGGACCTGGATTTGAATTGGCAGCCCTATCCCCATGTCCCACGTCGCTTGGAGGCCTTTCTTTTCAGCCATCGGGACCGAATGCTCGCGTCGCAGCAGCACTGTTTCAGACGCTTGGTGGAATCTGAACATGAAGTACTGCACGATTTCAGTGCGTGCACAGAACCTTTGATTGCGTCGTGAAATTAGGCCGGCTTTGCAGAGATTTTCGCAGAAACGCGCAAGCATTGCAGAAGGTCCTCGAGGGTATTGACCCGCATTCATCAGGCCCCGTCACTTCGCACTTTCTTGCTTTGCGCTGGCATTTGGGTATGGTTTCACGATGTTACTCGTGCCGCAGGTGATGGCGGCAGGAGGCTCTTCTACCCTGGCATCTTTGACATGGCCTCTCAGGTTCAAGAGTTCTATGACAGACGGACGCGAGGGCAGGTGGACGCTAAAGGCCAGCTTGCATTGCAAAGTTTTATGTGCATGTGCATGAATGCCCAGTTTGGAGCACAGTTGCAGGCGTAGATGCAACGGCCAGACTCAGAAGTTTCAACAACTGCGTCAAAACTCTTCTCCTGGAGAGCCCCTCGGCCAACACGCGCGAAAAGGGCGAGGATACATACTCGTAGCTCCTGCATGGTTGGTCATGACTGTTTGGGCATGTATCGGAATTCGAATCTGACTTGTAAGGATCATCTCACATACGGATCATAGGCAACTAGCATGCAGACCCTCACCCACTAGGGATATCGGTTTTGCACGGTTTCTTCCTATGGAATACATCTTACTTGATTCGTGCATGCGCGCGGGTGTTTGTGTGTGTGTGTGTGTGTGTGAACCTCCCTAGCACATGGGAGCTGAGGGTCACTCCTTTCCGTTGGATCTGACACATTCTTGCAATACATTTTCACTTAAACACATGAAAGTTTGCAGGGGACCACCGAGGCCTCCGGGGAGCGGTGGTCAACGAAGACCTTCCCGGAAAGCCTGTGAAAACGTACCTGCTTTTGCCACCTTCATTGCACCTGGGGCGGTCGTGCCAGCTGGTGGATGAGGAGTGGAAAGACAACGAGGACGAGGACAACGACGACGAACTTTTCATATGCACACCACAAGCATACCTGCGCAACTTTCGGCAGCCCCCTGTGGTGCCAAGATTAGCTCAAGGACAGGCCCCCTGTGGTGTCCAGATTAGACAACAACATACAACATACTCTCCTCTTCTTGCTCTCTTGGCCGAATCCATCAGTGTGACCAGCGTGGGTCTTGAGACTCCAGAGCAACGGCTTTCCGTCATGGCGCCGTGGTGACCCTCCGGGGAGACCGGTGATGAACCGGGTGTTCAGCCTTCGTTCAGACTGTTCAGAATCTCCCGATGCTACTTTATCTCTCTCTCTGATGCCGGCATGTGAGTCTGACATGAGTGCAGGTGCAGTAATGGACGGCTAATGCAGTAAAGTGCGTCTAGTGAGCAGGTGCTACCTCGCTAGTCTGTCCTCTATTCGACCGCTTCTTTATTTCTCAGGGACTGCAAGGGCATGTGCAACTGACATGAGGGCAGGTGTGGTAACCTTCGTCTAGTGCAAGTGAAGCGGCGCTTCCTCCGGGAAGTAATCGGCCTCTCGCTTCTCTCTCCCCTCAACCCCACACCTTAAGTTGAGGACCACGCAGGACGTGGTACCTCTCGTTCCATTGCTCCTGGGTGCTTTTCTGCACAGCTGGAGGATGGTCCACCGCTCTTGGGTGTCTTTTGCTACACAGCTGGAGGGTGGAATACCCTAATCCTGCTACTGGCCTTGGACCCTGCTCGGGTAGCCGGGCAGTAGTCACTCCGTTCCTGGGTCTTTGGTGACAGCTGGAAGGAGTGTCCTCACCCTATTCTCACCACCCTAATTACAACATACAACCACATGTGCAACACATTGGTCAGAAGCTGCTAGCCCTGGACCCCTTCGAGGGTAGCTGGGTAGCAGTTTTCTCCATTAACCCTCATTACTGTTGCTTTTGGGGGCCGTCGCGCCCAGCTGAGGAACAGTCCCCGGCTGGATCTGGGCCCTTGCAAGGGCAGCTGATCAGCCTTCCTTCCCCTCTGTCGCTTCTGGGGGCTTGCGTGCCCAGCTGAAGGACAGTCCTGAACCCTAAATTTTACGCCTCGCCACATCTTGGACTACCACAACATTACTACATTCTGGACTACATCGACAAGCTTTGCAAGCGGGCATTGCAGCCCACAGGGTTTTGTGGTTTAGTTTGGGTTCGTTTAGATCTTGGAGCCCTGGCGCGGCTTTATTCCACTGCACACAGCCGCCCCAAGCTGGGGCTGTGTGTGTGAACCTCCCTAGCACATGGGAGCAGAGGGTCACTCCTTTCCGTTGGATCTGACACATTCTTGCAATACATTTTCACTTAAACACATGAAAGTTTGCAGGGGACCACCGAGGCCTCCGGGGAGCGGTGGTCAACGAAGACCTTCCCGGAAAGCCTGTGAAAACGTACCTGCTTTTGCCACCTTCATTGCACCTGGGGCGGTCGTGCCAGCTGGTGGATGAGGAGTGGAAAGACAACGAGGACGAGGACAACGACGACGAACTTTTCATATGCACACCACAAGCATACCTGCGCAACTTTCGGCAGCCCCCTGTGGTGCCAAGATTAGCTCAAGGACAGGCCCCCTGTGGTGTCCAGATTAGACAACAACATACAACATACTCTCCTCTTCTTGCTCTCTTGGCCGAATCCATCAGTGTGAAAACTTGTCTCTGTGTGTGTGTGTGTGTGTGTCTGTGTGTGTGTGTCTCTCTGTGTGAGTGTGTGTGTGTGTGTGTCTGTGTGTGTGTGTGTGTGTGTTTGTGCGTGCGTGTGCGTGTGGGGGATCAGTGCCAGTAAACGGGATTTGTCGTCACAACAACAGCGGACCACTCACTCGATGCACCTGTCTGATACCGTGGGTGAGTTTATGCTTTGGAGATAAGGCTCATCTGGAAAGCAGAAGGTTTGGAGTCTGCGAGTTGACCGAACATTTGGCACACTGCAACTGCAAAACCCATGTCGAGATTCGACCAGATGTATCATTTGCGGGAAAGAGCGTGAAAGCATGCGAAAGCCTTCTGTCGAACCCAACAGGTTGCCCGCCTATTCAATCGTTTTGCGTCACCAGCATGTTTCGGTTTGTGGGCTTTCTTGCCGCATTGTCCACGCAATGCCTGGTCGTGGCTGCAGAGGCTTCGTCTCACGACATCGGATCAGCATAGGTGGTCGTCTTTGGCTGTTCGAGCCGGGCAATGCCAGCTGCTGGCTTGCTGATGAACATGCTTGAGACGTGACCAGATCGAGGGAACTCCGAGGCCGTAAAACCAGCTGATCAGGATCTCGTGGTTGAGGGAATGTGAGAACTTTCTGGGGGCTGGTCAAAGCCGAGGCTTTGTGGACGACATGGCCGGAGATCTCCAAATCCTGGACCTCTGCTGCGGCCGAGGGCAGGACCTGAACAAGCAGCTTGCAATCACGGTGATCACTTGCATCGAGCGGTTTATCTTCTGGCTCTGTGTCCTTGATGCTACACATGCCAACTAAGGTACTCTCGAGAGCATCGCACCTGCAACGTTTCCTCGTTGGTTTGTGTGGACTTTGTGGCAGAAGCTGTCGCAGAAGCCAGGCGTCGCCACAGTCACTTTGCTTGAGAACTTGTAGCCGGATTCAGTTCCCCCTCTCCAATGAGATAGGATGAGTACTTTGTCACAGCGCTTTCTGTGACGTGACGAAGAGAAGATAGTAAACTCAGAGGCAGTCGGTTCAGCCAACACGGAGGCGAATTGGCAGCAAGGGGTCACAAAGCTGGGCGACCCGACTTCGCGGCGTCGTTCTACACTGGTGACTGTAGCAGCGCCGAAGTCTTCAACGAGTTGGCTCAGGATGGTTTTTCAGAGCGGCGTGGCTGTCACAGTTCGTTCGGAATCTACTGCAAGTAGATGCGCTTGCAGCTTAAAGGCCCAAATGATACTCGGAGCATCAATTTTCCGCGCAGGTAGCCATTCTTCATGTTCGGGCTGAGCTTTCTTGCAAGAAAGTCTACCAGTACAGAATGGGTTTAAAACCTCGCCGGACAGCATAATGATCCTGGAGAGCACACTGAGCACAGACTGGCTGTTCCTTCTGACTGGAATCACGCAGTGCAGAGGTTTGATGTCGTCGTGTGCCAGTTTGGCCTCCACTATCTCTTGGGAGCAGAGGAGGCCTCGGGAGCGATCCGAGTCTCAGCTTCGCCGCTTTGCCGCCACCGGGACGGCGGGACGGGATGAGGATGCGACTCGTTTCCTGCAGCGAATCTTCGCGCTTCTTCGGCCCGGGGGTCGCTTCATTGCCACGGCCCGAGCCTCAGAAGGAACATCTTTTGCAGAAGAGGCATCCAGCATGCGGAGTTGAGTGATCCAACCACGAGAAATATCCACTTCTTTGACAGGTACCTTCGTGTGAGGTACTAGCAGACCTGTACGAGCAGGCAACCCCTTTCACTGACAGTGGCAGGACGGATGCGCTTTGAGAAGCTAGCAAACTGCATCTTCGAGCTTGAAACTGGTTCGCCAGGAGTCGCGAACGCGAGCTGCATCAAAGCTTGTTTCAGGTGGCTCGGATGTGACGGCCTGCGGCCTGTGGTGCAGGGATGCAGGGATGCCGGGTGTGTGCAGAGGTTCGCTTTGAAGGAGAAGCCTGGCAACACTTGGACACTGGCGGTCAGAGCCTGGATGAGGCCCTCGTACTCAGATGCTCATCAAGACTTGGGGCCGTGGAAGACAGGTCTTCCAATGTCGCTGGGGTTTGCCCTACCTCTTCTGGCTGAAGGGGGCTGTCTGTGCTGAGGCCCGGACATGCGTCACGTCTTGGTCAGCACTTGGCTTGCAGCAGGAGTATCTTCTGCCCTGGGAAGCCTTTGAGAAGCTTGCCGAATCCACAGGCTTCAGGCCTCTTTGGTTGCAGATGCAGCACCATGTTGTGCGAATTTATGTTGTGTGAACTTAGCTGCGCAATTTACAGTAGGCTATGGTAGACCGTCTCGGCCTTACAGCCATGATCCAAGTGTGATGGCGGATGCCTCCTTCCCGGATCTCTTCAGCTTGTTGAAGGAGAAGTGCGGCCCCTACATCTGCTCTGATTGCGGGCATATTTCGGCGCGGGGAGCCGCAGGTCTGAATCCCCACTAACCTAGACACGAGTCGTAAGACGGTAACCCGCATTGCACCAAAGCCCCTGGGGGCAAGACATGCATGGAAAGCTCAGATGACAGCAGGTGTTTATTGCCCTCACGCAGTGTTCCTAAGGTCGAAGTTCTTCAATGACGTTTTTTCCAAAGAGCCTTGGTACAGCTTGGCCCTAGTGAAGCTGCCACTGTTTCGCTGTGAATACCCGTGCAATCGGGCTGCAGTTTGGAGCTCATTGGATCTTAGGACAGAAGAAACGAAACTATGAGTTGTGACGAAGAACAGGTCTTCAAGCTGTGCCATGCCGGAAGCTGGCAAGGGCCAGTCGCTGGAGTTGCCTGTGCTGTTCGTGATGCCGAGACATAGACATAGAACCAAAGTCGCGAGTTTTCCGTGTGCAAGGTACAGCGGATTCGTGCTGGAGCGTCCCGAGACTGAGAAAGAAAAGAACGGATGCCTGCAGTGCTCCTGAAGAAGGGGCATCCATGGTCGCCAGAATCCAGACAGCCGTGCCACTCCCCACTCCCAGTACACCTCAGAAAACCTAAGTCCTCGCTTGCAAGCGCCTTCAAAGGCCGAGCCCGCCCAGCGGACCTTGGGAGGCCATGGCCAGGGTAGCTTCGAAGAAGAACTTCGAAGATCGGCGAAGATCGACATGAGCTTTTCAGTTTCGCCGAAGGTCCAGAAAGGTCATCGCACTTGGGTGGTGCCAGGCCCCAGTTAAGCCTCATCGAGTGGGTCTTAGATCAATGCCTGCTTGGACGCTGCTAGAGTAGCAGCCGTTGGTGTTCTGTGCCAGAACGCCCACACTCGCCGGACTTCGCGCACTTTCCTGTTCCGGTCGACGAAAAGTTCTTGGAGGCGAACGAGGTCCGACCGTCCTGTCTGAAGACGTCTCTCGTCGGGTTCTCGAGGACAAAAGCTGGGAGCCGGAGTCCCGAAGTTCCTAGTCGACACCTCTGGCCTTTCAGCAAAAGCCGACAAAGGATGCTGGGATCGGAAGCAGAATCCAGACGATGCCACCGGTCACGCTGCGACCCCGGTGGACTTTCCGCTCGGTGGCATTCTGCAATGCAATCTGGCCCATAGGCTGCCAAAGCACATGGCGCAACCGCCACCGTTGCCGCCAGTCGACCGCCAGTGCCCAAGCGTCTACCGCGTCTTGAGTTTGCACCCGGAATGCAGGGAGATCTCATGCAATGGCGGATGTTGGCGGAGGTTTACCGTGTAGAAGCCAGCTCGAGGCTGCAGCGCCAGGCCTCCGTTTGGCGGCCTGACTCTCTCTAGCTCTCTTGCGAAGGTAAGACAAAGCAGCAGGCCAGCATCAGTTGTATTTGTGACCTGTGCCTTTCTATGCAGGTGCAAACTAAGCTGTCTCGGCTGACGCATAGGATCCATGACTCCGCAGCTCTTCACTCACAGCTGGACATGCGCTGCAAGACAGCGAAGACTTGACCTGCTGCCATCCTCAGACCCCTGGTCGACATTACAAGAGTCTCTCTCCATTTCTGGCTGGGCCTACTCCGTAGACCGATTACATCCATCAACACACAGAAACTCTTGTTTTCTTTTCGCGTTGAGAGCGCGCATAAAGCGCCCCGGAGAGCCTAAGATCACACACACACACACATGCGCATGCAGAAGCAGAGCATCTGCCACGTCACAGTTGTATAAGATCATAGCAATTTCTGTCTGGCGTGCTGGGTGGTCGTAAGCTCAGCGCATGAGTCCGGCAATCCTGTGGGTCTCTGTGGGTAGCCCAGTTGCTGTGGTGTTCCCGGACATGCCTCGGCTGCCGTCTGAGGGCTCGCCGCTGAATGGAAAGATTCAGAGATGCTACAGATGAGGAGGCTTCGACGTGTCGAATGTGATGGGTGTGGAAGCAATGGGCGTGTGAATTTTCATGCAGACTAAGGCAGCCTTGGTGCCTAGCTGGGCATACTCCGCCTGGCGGCCCCTTGGCGCAGATGCCTACCCTAGACAACCTGTGACACCTTTTTCATCTTCTTTTGCACCTTCCAGGGCAATGCTCTCCGAAGGCCGCAAAGAGGTGTCGTCCTTAGATAAACAGACTTTTAGGATTCTGTTCCTGGGTTCTCGCACGGGTCTATTTGGGCAAAGGAGACGGCAAAAAACTACGCTCGTACCTTTGTCCGGCTTTTCGAAGAGGAGCGGAAGGCACAAGACTCTGGGCAACGATGTGGTCCATGTGTACATGCAGCGACTTGTGCTGTCCTGTCAGGCTCCCAGTGAGATGGCCACGCAGGAGTTCTTCGAACTCACGAAGGCTTGCTGCACGAGCCGGTGCGTGTAAAGTAACATGACTAAACCAAAACGACTCAACTAGAAGGCGCTCTATTGCCTCGTCTGCAAGTGTGGGAAATCGTGGTGTTTTTGCACCAGGATGTTTCTGCAAAAGGTTGTGCATACCGAATTCTTCTTTCGACTCAAAGATCTAGAAGTTGGTCCCGAGATTAAACAACTCCTGAGTAGCACATCGTACAGAAAGGCACCGAGAGTGCTGTAAATACCGACGAACTTACAGCCTAGAGTCCAGGGTCATTCTGAGCCACCTTTGCCGTGCTTGCCTCAACCCCCATGACAACAACCCGGGGTAAAAGTGCAATACCTGTAAACGAAACGTGGCGTGGCATGCGAACGAAAAATTGCCGCTCTGGTGACCTTCGATATTTTTTGGTCGTCCATTATCCCCCAAGGCATCGCCTAAGAACAAGAGTGGGTTGCGGGCTCAGGGCACTGTACAAGAGTGCTGTGCAACGGACTCATCCTGATTTCAAGAGACCCCAAGGAACGGCCAGCGTGCTGCTTCCGTTGCCGCTTTCCGTAAGTTCTACGACAGCATTCAGGCCGTCGAGCGTGCAACGACTCGTACATTGCTTCAGCTGGAACGCTACTCGAGGGAGATGTCTCAAAGCTTGAGCGGCCGGACGAGACCATCAAATTCTGTCAGGTACGACCCGTGCAGTCCTGCTAGTGTTTTTGCTTTGATGTAGACGCTTGACAGCTCGAAGGTCAGTTTGCCTGGAATGGTCAAAGCCCGACCGCCTAAGAGGAAAGAGCCAGAGTCACAGGCAGCGAAGGCTGGACGCCAAGCACAAGACGTGACTCCCGAATACTCTGGAACATTCTCCTTCTCAGGCGAAGGAGAGCAACGGCCCTGTCGCAGAGGTGCATCCCTTCATTCCCCTCTCTTTCTCCCTCTCTCTCTCTCTCGCGATATCTTCTTCTATCATTTTTTCCTCTTTCTCTCTCTGTCTCTTGCTCTCCCTTGCTCCGTAGAGGCCGAGAACGGCAAGCCCCCACCTCAAGCTTCAAAAGGGTCGCCCGACCTTTGCCGGATTTCAGAGACACCTGAAGCGCCCAGGACTGTCAAGAAGCGCAAGCGTGAGCCTCGCGACGAGGACAAGGCTACGATCCTTTGTGCCGTACTTCGTCTGAGATGAAACACAACTTGTGCTTGTGGCTACAGTTCAGTATAGTTCACTCTGCCGCTGCATCTCCTCTATCCTTGCCTGGGGCAGGATGTTGAGGGCGCGGCCGTTGCCTGAGTGAAGAAACAACGGTGTCCACATGCTTCGTGCTCTCCTTGTCTGTCTGAGGCCGAAAACGGCAGGTTTGCTACTCAGATATGGGCATGCTGGGTTGCTAGCAAATTAGCCAAGCACAACAACAGCGCTTCCATCCATGGGACTTTTGGATTTAATGTCATGCTGCACTCCAGCTTCACTTCCACTACGTGTTCCAAACAGCTCTTGCTTCCCGGTACAACTACGGACTCAAATTTGCAGATCCGCTAGTTGGCACACCCGGGCCTGGGAGGACCTGTGAGCGGCCTGGGCGCATGCAGAGACAGATCTTGGCAAGAACTGCCGAGTCTGGATTTGATGACAGATCGAGCATGGAAGTACACGAAAGCAATTCCCGTGCAGTTCGTGCGTGAAAGGCAGTTTGCTCGATAAGAACGGGATAGAAGCTTGGATGCCTTTGCACTGCTGCCAAGGTCGCAGAAACATCCTCACGAGCAGCCGCAGGTCCGGCAGAGTGGGAAGGGCTTAAAGGGGACTGAGGCTGAAGCTCGTAGAGAGGTCGGCATCGGGAGCCGTGTAGCACTTCGCGTCGAGGATGCAAGCAACGATATGCCTCAGGAGGCCCCTTGCAACAGCAAGTTGTGGTATCCGGTGTGAGTCTTTTGCCATTTCGGATGCTGGGAGGCTTCGGCACCTGTGGTGGAGAGGTTGGCCGATGTTGCGATATCATTGTCGAGAGAGAGAGAGAGAGAGAGAGAGAGAGAGAGAGAGAGAGAGAGAGAGAGAGAGAGAGAGCGAGCGAGTGTATGTGTATGTGTGTGTGTGTGTGTGCATATATATATATATATATACATCTCTTCTCTCCGTCTCTCTCTCTCTCTCTCTATCAATATGTGCACGGATGTGGTATACAGCTGTGAGGAAGGTTGTGAAGCTCGACCAGGTCTTCGACCTGCGCGGCCCTTATCATGTCATGGATCAGCTATCCTTCCGACCGTTTGAGATCGCGTTTGTCCACCGATTCAGAGCGGCACCTTGAGGTTGGGAAGTGTCGACGCAGCGCAGAGGCCGAGCTCTGAGAAAGTCTTCCAGCAGTTTGCGGCGTCACACTCAGAGCTCAGAGCTTCCAGGTCCTCTGACCCGCAGAGCGGGCCGCCGAGTCGGCCCCGAGTTCTCTTTGTCCACGGCCGCGATCCGGCGAAAATGATGCCCGGAACCCTTGGAAGTAGCAGTCTTCCGTTCTCCGCATCTCTGACCCAAGCATCCTGAGGACCTCGCGCGTGCACGGCGTGTACACGGAGCTGGACAGCCTGTTGCCTTGTAAGTTCAGGGGATCTTGAGCAGCTTGAGGAGAGGCCGTGTAGCCCGCCGATGTTTTACAACTCTCATCCGATTCCTCTTCAGGGGGAGACGAAGGATGGGCGTCCTGCCTTCGAGAAAGTGGATCACGAGAAGAGACTTGTCAAGGTTTGAGTGCGACCGTCCACTCACGTCCAGCAGTGTGCCGGTTGAGAAGTGTTCGTTTTTCAGCACACACAGGTAAATTTCAGGCTTTCCAGTTTCTATGTCAACTTTGTTTCATGCTGCGAGCATCTCCCAATGCATGTGGCAGCTGAGGAAGACCTATATCTCCTATGTCGGAGACAAGAAAACTTGGCGAATGTCTGTTTCACTGACTTCCCAGGGAGACTTTGCAAAGGTCAAGGCCAGAAGTCTCAGCACATCTCAGAACTTTGCAAAGAGTCTCTCGCATGCCAACGAAACAGACTATGCTGAATCTGAATGCTTCTTCTTGGAGGAGCCTGCGGATCTCCCTTGGCAAGTTTCCAGGCCCTGGAAAGTCTTCAACGGAGACGGAAGTTATGAAGAGGACTCGCTTGCTGTTGCCTGTTCTGATAAGGTGCCAGGGGCTGTCGAGCTGCGAATTCCAGCATACAGTTAGCAAGGGAATCCGCAAGAATCATAGCCGCACGAGTCACTCGAGCAAAGGGCATACAGTCATACAGCACACGCAGTGGGATGCCTGAAGTTTTGCACTCCACAACTGCACAATCGTAACTATATGTGGTTATTGAGAAAGGGTCTGCGAACGCATCCAGAATCTATGGATGACCAGTTTCTGCACTTCCGGATCGGGTTTGAGAGGTGTTTCGAGATCAGTTTCAAGGCATGGGATTTTGCATTCGTGTAAACTTCCTTACAGGGATAGGTCTCGGGTGAGGACACTTCCCTCCGCTGTGACTTCCTGGATCCAGAGAAGCCGGCGCCAGATCTGGAAGTTGAGGCCGGAGCACCGGGGACCGGGGCATGGACCACAGAGGCTTTCTCCGTCGGTCCGCGACGAGGTGTGCCTTCCAATGTGGCCTCCAGCAGGCGAGGTGACGGCGTCGCTTGTTTCTGACAGGGCAAGGAGGCCGTGTGTTCATCCAGTGAAGGTCTCGCTCCACGAACTTGTGTGTGTGTGTGTGTGCGACTGCCAGCACATGGGCGGTTCATGCAGCTGGTGGCGGCGAGACTGTGTAATCTCGTAGCTTCTGGTGGGTTGTCGTGCCCGTTGCTCGGGATAGACCGGACCAATCTCGTTCCGCTCCATGCCTCCACAGGCTCCACCACCCCGTACAGCCCATCTGAACGCGTGCTTGTTGAATGTAGCAGGCCTGACACACGGCACTGTGATGCAAGCCGAGCCGCACTTTCACTTTCCAGTGGATTGATTTTAGGTGAAAGGTCGCCGGCGAGGTCCAGGCTAGAGAAGAGCAAGATTTCGTTGCCGAGCCATTTGAATTTCGTATGCTGCCCTTGTGAAGCAACAGATTGCCTCTGAATGAACCACCACTCAAGCATGCTCTCTGCCTCCATGTTCAGGTCGCAAATCTGGAGAAAGGCTTCGAAGCGTCAGCAGAACTTTTCGGGCAAAGCGACCACTTTCCGCCAAGCGCCGCTTCTGGCTTCCGTGATCCACCCAACATTGCCTTATTCGTGCTTGGGATCTTGGTTGCATCACCGGATTTGAACCCATCGCAACGGGTAGAATCCGCCTTCTGGCTCGCTCGTGCCGGCACTCTGGACTACACCCAAACTACATGCTTCTCGGGCTCAACCGCCGCAGCACCCCTTCGGAGGTTACGGCGGTCTCGCTCAGCATGTCTGTCTGAGCAACAGCAGTAGCAGATCTGCGACTCGCAGAAAGGAGGACTATCTTGCACATGGAATGCCACTATTGTGGTGATGCAGGTCTGGTAAGTGATTTCGAAGGGGTGCTTTCGCACTTTCAGCGCACATTGGTTGTACATTCAGAAGCAACGGCCTACAGTGTTTGTCCACGCGCTGCTATTGAGGAAGTTGCAGTTTTGACGAGGCCAGATGGGCACCTCGTCCTCATCAAAAAGGCCGGCAAGTCAACACCTGCAGTGCAGTACATTGCAGTCCGGTTCCCGAAGGCCAAGACCACCTCAGGCAGAAAGTCAGCCGTCTTCCAATGCGGGCATCGGGCTAAGCGCTGCTCTGCATGCCGGGTCATGCAGTTCGGCCTTTTCCGGTTAGACAGGGGATGCCAAGCCGAACCCGCAAGTTGTGAAGATTCTCGGCATGGGCCTCAAGTGCGGGGGTGAACTTCGAAATGGCAAGCTCTTGACGTGCAAGACTGAAGGCTTAGACAACTCCATAAAAAATGCGAGCCGCGTGATGGGTGTGTATGTCGAGCAGGCCCATGGAAGTGCATTTGCAAGGTTTTGGTAAGAGTAAGAGCTGGTGAGAGCTGCAACTTCAGGCAATGCAGCACTCAGAGCAGCCGGTGTTCAAGAAGATGAACGAGGCCACACCTCGCATCGGCCTGACCGTTGCTGAGCTTCCCGTAACGCCAGGCGAAGCCCAGCTTCTTGTACTTCGATGCTCAGAAGGAGACGACAAGAACCGGCCAAGTGGCAGCAGCGCAAACTTAGGCTACTTAGGCTGAGCCCGTGACTCATTGGTAAAACAATCTAAACGGGTGAATAACAGCGTTCTGTGTGGGAAATGCGTGAACTTGGCGAGGAGAGGTGGAAGATCGCCAAATCGTTGGAAGACAAGGGCAACACTAGCTCTGAGTTTGAATTTGTAGCGATTAGTTAGAAGTGCTCCGGATTGCGCCGAAGGGCATGCTTGATGACAGGTGACTTTGCACACGTCAAGGCCGACAGCCGTCGAACCTACTTCGCAAGTTACGGACCATCTCCTGTGAAGGACAAGGGTCAGCTGCCCTGGCTGCTGAAGAAGCCTTGGAAGGCCAGTTCCCGGAGCAACGCAGTTATCCCTTTTCATTCACTTCGAGACCAAAGCTTGAGAACCGAAGCTCCACCAGGCATTCCGCTGAACGGAAACTAAGCAAATGGCCCCAGATGGAGCAACGCACCAATGTTCACGCTGCAACTTCGGTGTGCCAAAACAGCATCGTGCCAAGCTAACCAGCAGGCTGTCAGAATGCAGGCCCCAAATCACGTAGCAAATTCAGAACTTTTTGAATCAGCTCAGCAGCTCAGCAGCTCTGGAGCATTGCATCGGCCGCAGGTCTACGACGGTGAGAAGTACGCAGAAGCGCGCGCCTTGAGTGTGTAATGCGAATCGAGACCGGCATGCCATTGATTTCAGCACTGAGGTCCCTGGACTACGAGTTCAGGAGGCGGATCCGTCCATTCTGGAGGCTGGAAGAGTACGACTGGAGCTGATCTGTGAATTGGGCTGTGCAGCGGAGGCCCAGGCCGCAGAAGCGAATGTCCAGAAGCGAAGCACGAAAGCAGCGGAAAAACGTAGCAAAGTCGAGAGGAAAGAATCAAGCAGCAAGATTCGCGACAGGCCGAGAAAGCTTGAGCCTGGACTCGAGACGCGATTCGAGCCAAGTGCAGGAAATGGCTCGGCCAACAGATGACCGCTGATGAGCTGCCACTGGAAGCGCTGAAAGAGCTGCCCCAGGACACACGGCCACGCAGTGATTGCCTGCCATTGCCGTGGCGGCCTGTCTGCCATGAAGGGAAGCCAGACCTTGCAGCCCGAGGATGCTCCTGATGGACACGATGCATGGCGAGTTGTGAAGTGGGAGCCATCTCACAATCGGGTGTGCCGGCGAGTCAAGATATGTCCCGGATGTGGATAATACAAGTCAATGCCAGGCCTTGTTTCAATTCCGTGGCATGCGCATTCAGACCACTCAGTTCGGCCCCGCGCTTGTTTGCAATTTTGCATCTTGTGTCACGTGGTCATTGCCATCTCGAAAGTTGCAGCCGACAGGCGGTGAGTCAAGCTTTCGAAACGCCAATCTTGTATCGTGTGTCGGGATGTGAAGCGGATTGGGGTTGTCGGAGGTCTGGAGCCTTTGAACTTTTGCTGTCTGAGATTGCAATGCGAAAACAGTCCGCATTGGGGGTCAGACGTACCAAAAAGACGTAGAGGCCGTTTTCAGCCAGCTAGTATACTAGCTAGCCGCAGCTAGCCTGGATGCAAAGGGGCCGGATAAGGTAGTTCTCCGCAATGCAGCTGGGAGCCTCCCTTCCTTCACCCCCCCAAGCGCACTCCAAGCAGGGGCGTGGGACGTACAACCACGGCCGGCCGAAACACCCCTGGAAAGTGGGAAGTGAGGATGGGGGTGGGATCTGGAAAAAGATGTGGGGCGGTGGGGCGGGTCGTGCGATCTGGAGGAAGATGTGGGGGCGTGTGGTGGTGGTGGTGGTCACCCCCCAAGCTTGGAGCTACCGAGGGTTCGGAGCCAGCCTGAGCCAGCACCCGCAGCAGCAATCTAGCGCGAAGACACGAACGAATCATGCACCAGCTTCCTGCACCAAAAGAACAGCACCACCGAAGCAACACAACCCGGCGCGAAGAAGCTGCTACGGTGCCTGCAGGTGCGTCTTGGATCATAAGGGCTTTGTGCAACCTGGATGTAGGTGACATCCGACGTGAGCAGCCATGCATGTCCTTGCCAGGCCAGACACAGAAGCCACAACTCTATTTTGCATGATCCGATGATGTCGATCTGGAACTGGCGGCGATGTTTCTCTGCCCCATCGAGCACATTCAGAATCTGCCCTCTCAAACTGTCCCGGCGACAAAACGGAACACAAGCTTCCTTCGACGATCCTGAATCTTCGGTGCCTTTGACCCGCTTAATTCTAAGCCTTCGTCACGAAGTCTCGTCTTCCGACCAGCAAGGAATTGACCCACCGTGTTTCAGTATAAAGTTTGTGGCAACCCGGATGCAGCCAAGTTGGTGCAAGGTCTCCTGTCTGAACCTATCGTGCGTGGGTGTACAGCAAGAGAGCCGTGGGACCAGTCTGAGTTCTGGGAGTGAAGAGCCTGGATTCTCACCGGCTGTTGCAATGTCAACAAGGTTGCGTGTGGCTATGTTTCCATCAAGGTTTGGTTGCATTGTGTCAGGTTGCGTTAGAGTGACTTTCAACAGAAGGACCGGCATCTCCGAATAAATTCGCGATTTTAGCAACCTGACAAGGCTTTGAAGAGGCGCTTGCCTGGTATTTTGGAAAGGAGTTATGCCGCTATGCCTGGCTAGGCTAGTTAGGGTAGGCTCGGCTCGTCAAAGTCAAGGTAGCGTTAATTAGCCTTGAAATAGCTTTAACTGCGTCGCACCTTGGCCTTGATCTTGGCGGTGACCTTGACCCTGCCCTTGATTTTAACCCTGGCTGAGGAAGGTGGCCACGCGCAGTTGTTTCGATCCATCATCATCCGACGGACATGTGCATGTGGACAGGCTGAGGCCATGGCTGGGGTTAGGGCTAGTTCTGAAGCTATTGTTACCCGTGCGGGCTGCGGCCACGACTCAGGCTGTAGGTGTGTAGGTATATAGGTGTGTATAACTGTGAAGGTGTATATTTTCTTTAAAGAAAGCCAAGGGTGGCCGCCCTTGTAGCACGATGAATCCGACATTGAACGCTGCAAGCCCCATTCAGGAATCTGGCAGCGGATGCAAGTATGCGCCAGGGCATACTGTGCAGAGCGGCGGTGCCTAACACGCTGCCGAAGTATTCAGTTGTAAGCTAGCAAACTATAGCAAACTCAGGCCTGACAAACTGCCGCAGCCTATTGCAGGCTTGACGGCAGGGGTGCGGCACAAGATCCGTGAGCTTTGATTGCGCCGATCGGCAAAGCTGGGTCGGACCGTGGTGTCATGGGCCATCTGAACGGAAAACTCTCGGTATGTCCTTTTGCACAAATCATCCACGTACCATCACGGATCGGGGCACGTGGCTACTAAGGTCGCGTTGTCCGCAGGCAGCAGTCCATCCGGCTGCAAGTCACGCTTGAGACAGAGTAACTTCTCGGAGCCATATCGGGGGTGTTGTCCATCACCTGAGAGGCCGCCGGCTTCAGCAGAAACCACAGGAAGACAGAAACAGATGTCGCTGTCGAGAATTGGAAAGCAGATCGTGAGGTCACGATTCCCACGCAAATTATCGTGTAATCAGCCACTTCAAGTGCCGCTGCCGGCGAGTCTTTACGTCTTCTCTGAAATCACTCCCAAGCACCTTTCCAGATCTCAGACATAAAGCACCATATTTGTTCATGGCAGGCCACGCTATTGGAAAACGTGTCAGCAGAACGTCCTCCGTATTCTGCATTTTCGTGTCGTGACGCTCATGATTCATGCCGCACTTCAAGGCAACTATGGGCTTTGCCGACTCGTGCATGCCATACCTAGGGCTCACGACGTGCCAAAGCGGTACTGGGGCACTCGGCAATCCAGCGCTGTTGCTGGTTCTTTTGCATCTTGTGTAGTTGCATAGGTGTATCGGTGTCAATGTCGGTGTAATGCAGGTGCAGGCGCAATTAGGTAGGTGTAGGTGGGTGTAAGTAGCAGGTGCAAGTTCAAGTTTAGAGTTAGCCGTAGGTCTAGCTAGGACAATAAGGTTGCGGCTGAGGTAAGGTTAAGCGGCCAGGGCTCAGGTCAGGCGGCGGAGGAAAAGCCTAGTTAAGGATGGTTTCGGTTCTGGAGTGAGGATGTGTAGGGTAAAAGGTTTAGCGGGGCCCGGGGCTGAAACGGAGGTTGAGGGGAGGTTGAGATTAAGGGTCAACGACAGTAAGCAGATAAGGTTAAAGGTGAAATAAGGGCTACGATATAAGGGTTAACGCCGAACATGTAACGTTTTAGGTTTACGGTTGACGGCTTAAAGTTTTAGGCTGAAGGTCTAAGGTTTTGCGGTGGTTTAAGGTGGTTTAGGGTTTAGGGTGTGTTCGGGTCGCACGCTGGTTAGCGCGTATTAGTGCAGATGCCCACCCCACGACCACCCATAAAGTCATGCTGTATTCACAGCCAATAAATGCCAGCCAGCCAGCCGAACCAGAACCAAGCAACTGAATTCCTGATTCTTGAGTTCCAGGAAACAGAATATATCAAGGTTTCACATTGGGGACGGATTCCGCGTCCTTGGTGGGTGCATCTCCGATGCCGTAAGGGACTGCTGTGCGAGGATTTAGGGTTTAGGGGCTTGTTGCAGTAATCTTCCGTACCTGTGTGACATATTTACAGGGCAGGCGAAGCGGGTCACTTGCATCCCACTCCCTCCCTGCTGCTGCAACAGCAGCATGGAAGCCTGGCAAAGGAGGGATCGGTGTAGGAGGAGTTTCAATAGTTATGCAGTTCCGGTATAGTTGTCACCAAGCGTGGTGTCAGACAGACACTCTGGTGAGAGCAGATTTTGGCTTCGCGTAGGCTCGTGTGGTCTCGCTCACCCGAGAAGGAGTGAAGACGCGCGGGTAGCGGGTTTGGGGTTTAAGGCTTAGGGCCTAGAGCTTCTTCAGGCTTGAAGTTTGACGGGGGTTTAAAAGTTCAAAGGGTTGTGGTTTTCTGTAAGGCTTAGTCTTTACAAGCTTAGGTTTCAAGGCTTAAAGGTAAAGGGTTATGAGAAAAGGCGCGATGTGTAAGGTTCAAGGATTAAGATTGCAGGTTGAGATGTAAAGGTTGAAGGTTGGAGGCTCTGGGGTTTAGGGTTTGAGGCTTGAGGGTGAAGGTTTAAGGTTTATGGGTAAAAAGGCTGAGGTTTGTGGCTTCAAGCCGAAGGTTTAAGGTTGTAAGGCTTAAGGTTGGTTAAAACTGAAGGTTAAGCGTCATTGGCTTAAGGGAGAAGGCGCAACGGATAAGGATTAATTACAGTGTAAGGTTTAAATCTGATGTTTGACGGCTTAATGGTTTAGGTTTAAGGTCGAAGGTTCTGCGGTTTAACGTGTGGTTCAAGGTTTAGGGTTTAGGGTGTGGTCGGGTGGCGGGTAGCAATGCAGATTCCCACCCCACGACCACCCATACAGTCATACTGCATTCACAGCCAATAAATGCCAGCCAGCCGAACCAAAACCAAGCAAGTGAGTTCCTGCTTCTTGAGTTCCAGGGAACAGTATATTTCAAGGTTTCGCATTGGGGACGAATGGCGGGAAGTCCAATTGGCCTGTCAACTTAGGCTTGCATGGGTGGGGGGACTGTGCTATTGGCGGCCCGGGTTTTGGGGACACACGTTAGCCACACACAGGTGAGTCGAGCAGACATTATGGCGAGAGCGGATATCGGCTTCGCGTAGGCTCGCGTGGTCTCGCTCACCCGAACAGGAGTGCAGGCGGGTAGCGGGTTTAGGGCTTAAGGCTTAGGGCCTAGAGCTTCTTCAGGCTTGAAGTTGTGGTTTTCTGTAAGGCTTAGTTTTTAAAAGTTTAGGCTTCAAGGCTTAAAAGTAAAGGGTTAAGAGAAAAGGCACGAGGTGTATGGTTCAAGGATTAAGGTTGAAGAGATGTAGAGGTTGAAGGTTGGAGGCTCGGGGGTGTAGGGTTTAAGCCTTAAGGGTGAAGGTTTAAGGTTTATGGGTAAAAAAGCCGAGCTTTGTGGCTTCAAGCCGAAGGTGTAAGGCTGTAAGGCTTGAAGGCTTAAGGTTGTAAGGCTTAAGGTTGGTTAAAACTGAAGGTCGAGCGTCATTGGCTTAAGGAGAAGGCGCAACAGATAAGGATTACAGTGTAAGGTTTAAATCTGACGTTTGACGGTTTAAAGGTTTAGGTTTGAGGTCGAAGGTTCTGCGGTTTAACGTGTGGTTTCAGGTTTAGGGATTAGGGTGTGTTAGGGTGGCGCGTGTTAGTGCAGATGCCCACCCCACGACCACCCATACAGTCATACTGTATTCGCAGCCAATAAATGCCAGCCAGCCGCACCAAAACCAGGCAAGTGAGTTCCTGCTTCTTGAGTGCAAGGGAACAGTATATTTCAAGGTTTCACATTGGGGACGAATGGCCAGAAGTCCAATTAATTGTCCTGTCAATTTAGGCTATTGGCGCTCCGGGCTTTGGCGACACCCGTTAGCTAAACGAAGGTGAGTCGAGCAGACATTGTGGTGAGAGCGGATTTTGTTTTCGTGTAGGCTCGCATGGTCTCGCTCACCCGAACAGGAGTGAAGGCGGGTAGCGGGTTTAGGGTTTAAGGCTTAGGGCCTAGAGCTTCTTCAGGTTTGAAGTTTGAGGGAGGCTTAAGGAAAGGGTTGGGGTTTTCTGTAAGGTTTAGGGTTTAACGGTTTAAATCTTAAGGCTTAAAGGTAAAGGGTTAAGAGAAAAGGCGCGAGGTTTCAGGTTCAAGGATCAAGAGTGAAGCTTGAGATGTAAAAGTTGAAGGTTGGAGGCTCTGGGTTTAGGGTTTAAGGTTTTAAGGGCGTCGGTCTCAAAACGAGGTGACCCCAGTCAGGAAATCCGTAGACGAATCTCTGCTACAATGCTCATTTTAAAAAGCTGGACATCTTTTGGCTTGAAACGAGTTGTAACAAGAAATGGAAGTTGTTGGTCTACAACGCCGTCAGTACAAGCAAACTTCTCTATGGGTTGGAAGTTGGAAGCTCCGGAACCCACAGAATCGGCGGGAAAATTGCTCAATACTTTTCAGCTGAAAGGATTGCGAAAAATTCTGCAGTTGCACACTACGTTTATCAATCGCAGCAACACAAACGAGTGCTTGTGCAAAAGAGCTAACGAAGTCACGAATGCCCCAAGCGCAGGCATACACAGAAAAATCAAGCCCCTCACAGAAGTTCTCGGAGAACGATGACTGAAGCTTTTAGGACATGTGCTACATCGGGACCGCCAACATCTGTTGCATCAAGCCGCTTTTAAAACGCAGTCTGCTATGCCAAGAGAAACAGAACAACGGAGAGCAGGCCGTCCAAGACAATTTTGGACTACCACGAATTTGGAAGAAGCTTGGAACATAATCACATCAAATGACGTCTCGGTGCCGAAGGTGCCTTTCAATAAACACGACCGAGCAATACGAGAGACGATTATTGACCATGCCAGAAGATACCAACCACCTTTCCATTGATCATGCATTTATGGAAGGTCGCAGGTTGGTTGGTTGGTTGGTTGGTTGGTTGGTTGGTTGGTTTCAGCTATTACAAACAAATCGTTGTGAAGTCTGTCTTTGTGAAGCAGCTCGATGTGAAGTCTCTATGTGAAGAAGCTCAGAGTGAAGCTCAGTGTGAAGTCTCTCTGTGTGAAGTAACTCAGTGTGAAAGCCGTCTATAGGAATCAAAGAAGTGTAAAATTAGTGTATATGAGCATTCATTGCAGCAGTGACGCCGGGACCGTAGTAAACTAGCAGGAAGCAGGTTAGCGCCAACGACTTGTTGCTTTTGCTGCAAACTATGGTAGTAAAAACAGGGTGCAGGTTTAAGGTTTAAGATTTAAGGATTTTAAGGTGTACGGGTTAAAAAGGCTGAGGTTTATGGTTTCAAGTCCAAGGTTTAAGGTTGTAAAGCTTAGGTTTGTTTGTATCTGAAGGTTGAGTGTTATTGGCTTAAGGGAGAAGGCTGAACGGTTCAAGGCAGGGCATGAGTGCGACTTGGAGGCTTTCTAAAGCGACGAACAGCCGCCCGGTCGCAACTTTTGGAGTGCTTGTGCACCGCGGCTTCGCTCAGCGTTGCCGTTCACGTCCGGCGAGGTTGAGTACGAGTGGGTCGCACGCCATCAATGGGTTCTCGGGTGCTTTTCTTCCTTGTTCTGCTTGGCTTTCGTTCTGCTCTTTGCTTCGCTGCAGTTGCCTTTCTTGTGGACTGCGGCCTGGCGGCATTCTCGTTCGTATCACTTTCTTATTGATGTGTTGTTGTGCTTGAAGCTCGGGGCTCCTCTGCTATGGCCCCACTTCTGTCCACCCCCTCCAGACCGACCGCATCTCAGCGCTGCTATTGTTGACTCTCTCGTTGTTTTTTCGTTTCTGTATCATGCACTGCCGATCTCCTGGATGCTTTGAGGACAACCAGACTCGGACTTGGAAGCAGCGCAGGCGGTTCCTGGTTCAAGGCCAAGACCAAGACGAAGGTTTTGGCTTGGGTTCAAGATAAATTCAAGCCCGAGGTTGCGGTGAAGGTGCACATATGCGTCCAGGTGAAGGCGACCGTTATGGAGACCGGGAACGGGGTCAAGGTTCCAAGCTTCTAGGTAACGGTTAGGTTAGGTTAGGTAAGGCAGGTTAGCTGAGGTTCGGTGAGGTTAGGTGCGGTTCGGTTCGGTTCGGTTCCATCTTCGGCTAGGTCAGTGTAGAACATGTCAGGTTAGCCTCGGTGGATAGGGCGGGTTGCATCGGATTAGGTAAGGGCAGGTAGGTCAGGCGAGGCAACTTCGGCTTGTTCTGAAGCCCGGCATCAGACTTCAACGGGTAGGATGCGTGGGTTTCTAGGTCGGAATGGTTTGGTTGCGTGACCTTCTCGTCTGCAGGGCACCACATCTGGCTTTCCATTCCTCACTTCAATTCTGGCTGCAGGAGAGCAGTCGTCGGATCGTACTTGTGGCTTTCACTACATGTTCCTGCGTCGAAGGCGATCCCAGGTACACCAAGCCAGCCTGAGTCTAATTACACCAAGCCACAGGTCGCGCGAAGCCTTGTCAATGTAGAGGGCAAGAGCGCGAAGGCACAGCAAAATAGGCACCCACAGGTGCAAATGGAGAAAAAGTTGCAGATTGATTATCGACACTACATTCTCCATGGTGGTAGACGATCACATTCAGAATGTTTCTCAGATGCGGTTTTGACCAGTATATAGTTATAAGCTACGTCTGCCGTGTTTGGGTTGAGCAACTGACTAGAAGAACAAAGGCCGGCAGCCATTTTCGTTTGTTGATCAATTTGCATCTTCGGGTCTACCCGTGCGTTTAGTTTCCCAACATGAAAAGAGCAAGCGTTGCCGTGACGAGCCGGCTTCCCACATCTGTTCGAAGTCAGCATGTTCAACCTATCTGCTATTGTTAGTGCGCTTCCTTCGGGCGTCGAGAGTTTGGGTGGGGACGGGTTCGTTAGGTATAAGTTAGTGCGGATTGTTGCGGTTTTGGCTTTGGCCCTTGCAGCTTTGTTGCGTGGTTTTGCTTTTTGGTGCATGCAACTTTGTTTACCTTGTTCGGGGTTTCAGGGCCGGGTGGTTGAGCGTTTGCAAACCGCTTGTCGTCATTGCAGGATTGTGCCGCGCATCTTCAAAAACCGCAGCCGCAATGTGAAACATAAATTTATGCACGGTTCCAGGCTTTGCAAGGGGGGAAGGGAGAGACAGCGCACACAGGAAGCTTTCCGGAGAGTGTCGCAGTTGGCAGGATTCCTGAAGAGTTTTGTGTTCCGGCTGAAGTCGGTTTGATTCCAAGGAGCTGCAAGACGTCCAAGTGTTGCGAGGTCACGGATAATTACAAGAAAGCGCCGCAACTCGTTCATGATTCCGGGTGCATTGTCAACAGAAATAAAGTGCCTCCTGCAAACCTACCATCTTCATGAGTCCGAAAGTTAGAACAGGTAGCATACAGAAAACCAGTCCGAAATGCCGGCAAGAGTTCCAATGACCAGACCAAAATATATCGCATGTAAGAAGCAAAAAGGGGTGAAGCCGCACATTGAACCCGTCGAACCAGGGATGATCCAGGACTGGCAATCGGCACCGGACCATTCCAGTGATCTCGACTCTGAGGTTGTGGGTCCAAGCATGCGGCAGAGGTCGTTGCGCGGGCCTGCTATGTCATGCTGGCAGACGGGAAAGGAAAAGAGGAGGCACCATTGAATAGATTTTCTTTCGGAGTGACAGCGTCCGTTCACTCTGGCAGGTCATGACTTTTCGAGACGACTGGTATCGCAGGCCAATGCTGATGTTATGTTGGGTTATCAGTCAATTCAACGCTGCACAGCTTGGGCCGACCCTTCGCGTTTTGCACAGCATTCACGGTCCAGCCTATTGTGTGTGCTCGTAGGGTCCGTGGAACATTCTGCAGTTGCGTTTGTGTTTGCTCTAGCATGCACTGGCAGGATGAGATCATTCAAGTCCGGGCAGGCGGGTCGCGACATGCTCGTATCTTGGCTTTTTGGCTGCCGTCAAAGGCGACGTCCAACGGGCACGCACAAAGTGGCAGTGACACTTCGCCGAACAAACAGAAGAAAGTCACCCCTGCCACAGAGACTGCAGAGGCAGGGTGCGGAACAGATGGTTCATGTGCAGCAGCACGTGTCGGCTTTGACGTTGAGCCAATAGCGGTAGAAGGAAAGGCTTAGGCCCTTAGGCGGAGCTCCTATCTGGACCTTCCACGTGGAGTTGGTAGCTTCAGGTTCTCTACACCCAGCTTCTCTGTACCCAGCCCGTGTGTTTCGACTGTCCTTGACTGTCACCGTCACTTCGAGGCCGACGGCGTGCAGCCAGAAGGCACAGCACAAGCAAGTTCACCTCCGCCAGCCACGTCCAGTCAACCCGGCGCGCTTGCACGTTGCTAGGGCTGCTAGGGCTGCTAGGGCTAGCGTGAAGCTTGGACTCCCTCTCCTCGTGCTTGAAGGTGGGTCAAGCTCGAGCAGCGAGTCTGATTCAGAAAGCGCTGGGAAAGCCTCCGAATCTGAGTCCCAAGAGGACGTTTCCCGCACTTGGTGTAGATGGCTTGGCATGTCTCGGAACTTGCCGCAAGTGCCGAAAGGAAGCAGCGGATGCAGGTTCGTACACCACTCCTGTGTTTGCGGACTGCCTCTGACACCGGTCTTGTTGTGCAGGTCAGCGAGGTGTCGGATTTCTGGATCCGGACAAAGCACCCGGTGCTATGGGTAGGTCCGAGTTCTCTGCACGAGGGTCTGGAGTACTTGCAAGACGCACCCACATGGGTCCAGCACCTGCAGGGTCTGTGCAAAGATGGCCGCACGTGGCTCAGTTTTCCGAGGACGTACCACGCCTCCGTGCCTCAATCGAATTTTGTGGGTGATGATTCTGAAGTGGAACCCAGGTCAGGACAGGCATTCGCTGCTTCAGGTGCTATTTTGAGAGGCATAAATGTCGATGTAAGCGTGGCTGATGCACTGCTGCGAGCACGTGCATCAGCTGCGCTTTATACATATCTTTGACAGTAGTTAAGCTTCCAGTCCGAGTATCAACCTGGTATAATTTCCATGGGCAACGCAGTACGGCACGTTGATTCTCGGATCGGCCAGACAAGTGTGGAGTGCAGCTGCCCTTTGCCAGCAAAATTTTCAACAGATTTGTATTGCATTGTATTGCAAAAAAACGTTCGTTTGTCCTGCAGAGAAGCTAATGCCGCTGGCAAACTGGCATGTGTACACCACCACATGCACATAGGTAGGAGATTCGTAGGCGTCAGTTTAAACTGCCATCGGTTTTAGTCTGGAAGTGGTACATGCCGAAAGTTCGCACGTCCTAAAATCTGAGCTCAGCGAGCTTGGCGTTGACTCCGCTGGCAAAGCCTGTCCGCTGGGAGTCAGCGCAGACTGCGAACGGCCCTGGCTTCCAGTAGGTTGTAGCTGGGGCAGATGCTCTCTTCTGCTCAGCACGCAGTGTGACACATGCCAACGCTCTAAGAATAACTAGCAGCCCCGCACATGACCCATCTGTTTGGCAGCGGGGGACCTGCCCCAGACGGATACGTGGAACGACTCTGCAGTTACAGCTGCCGAAAAGGTGCCATACTTAAAGCTGTCAGCGGCTGAGCGCAGACACAGGTAGCACGATGGGCATACAATGTTCGCCTATCTACGTATCAATATCTAGGTTGCACGGCTTAAGAAACATATTGCATCGCAATGCAGCCGTGTTTGCTTTCGAAGCAAACATACTATTGTCATTTGAGGTTCGTGATGTTGACGACGGGAACAAGCTAGTTTCATCAAGTCTTTGTTCTGAATGTGGATGATCATGTGCCCATGTGTGCAGTATGAGATAGGATGACGACCAAACCTTGTAACATGTTGAAGTGCAATACTTTGCGGGGTCTCGTTTTTGTCTGTCTATCGTCTGTCTGTCAGTCCGTGCGTTCGTCTGTCTGTGTGTAGTGTGTAAATATGCCCGGTAAGACTGCCTCATCTTGGGACTGGTGGTGAGGATTCTGCCTTCAGCCTTTCTGCATTTTGTAAGATGGAGCCTACTCGTCAATGATCGAGATGCCTTTCCTCCTTCGCCGGGGATATACATATTGACTTATTTGATGTTAGGGGAAGTTGCCGCACGGCCTTCAGGTGCCTTCGCTTAGAGCCGCCTTCGAGCTGCATTTTTCTTCTGGTGTTCCCACCATGACCACGACGACGCTGATGTTTGCTAAGTCCAAGCAAGCAGTAGTGCCATAGCAAAAGTTGGCAGTAGGCTCAGGAGGCATGAGCCAGCCGTCCGTGTCAAGTCAGGCAGAAGCGCGTCTCTTCGGAGCCTCCTCTGACCGACCCCCGGCATGACAGCAAGGCATCAAGTGGGCGAAGTTTGTCGTCTGGTGTGATGCACTCTCTAACCAAATCTGTGAATCTGGAAGGCCGACCTGAGTGACAGAGAGCTTGGACGTGCAGGGTACAGCAGAACCAAGGTGTGCTGTAGATTGCTGTCCTTCCACGTGCCCGCCCAGCCTGCCGCAGGGTTCCTGCAGTTCCTCCGGCTCGGCCCCCGCGTGCTCTCTGCTCGGTTTCAGCCGGAGTCCATCAGCGGTAGTTTAGCTCTCCGAGCTTACCTCTTGTAAACGGGCATGCTCGGGCAAACGTGACTTACATCGCATAGTTCAGCTTGCTTGCATCACGTGGCAGATCTTGCCAGACTTCTCCACAACATCGAAGGCCTTTGCAATGTGCATCGCACACGCATCATGGCTCATGAGACGATGGCTGCTGAACCTGGGGTTATCTGGGGTTTGCCGGAGGCCAATCAAAGCATCCTGAAGCCTCGTCGGGCGGCGGGAAACCCCCCCCGTGAAATGCCAGTGGACGGAGTTCGAGACTTGCTTTGCAGGGCTACAGCGGCTACATGTTCGGAGCCGGTGGGCCTACGAAATCTTGGCAATACGTGCCTTGGCTGTGACAGCTCTTCAGATCTTTGTGCAGTGGGGTGCTGCCTCCATGATGCGAGGTGCTTCCTTAATGCTGCTTTGCAGTCCCTGGCGCATGCTCCTCTCTTCGCTGAGTTCTTCCTTCGAGGGTCCAAAGCTTGGCAGGAAGAGGCTTGCAGGACTGTTGACTGCGTTGGTCCCTCGAGGCGATTTGAAGCAGATCTCAATCCGTCCAATCCGTTGGGCACAGGGGGGGTCACCCTGGCACGATGTTGCCCGAGTTCAGCGCCCGGCCTGCAATCTTAGTCGCTGCACGAAAGCTTTGGGTGTTGCTCGCTGCAACCTGGCGAATGCAGGTCCTTGAGACAAGGTGATACGTTGATAGACACATTCACATGCACATTAAAAAGTTGGGTGCTGCTGATACGCGGTGTTGACACGCCGGCTGCGAGTGTCTCTGTGCGCGTGATTTTCGGCCGGCATCAGGTCAGAGGCCGCAGAGTTGCTTTGTCGAGGCTGAAGAAGAGATACAGCTTAGAGTCCGCAAAAGCGATATGTTCCTTATCATCGCGCTCCGTTTGCCAAAGGCTTTGCATCTCCTCGCCGAACAATTTCTGCAAGGGTTGCCGCTTACGTTACTCACTGCTGTCTCTCCTTTGGCTTCTACTGCCACTACATCCCACTACCCTTTGCGAATCAGTGCTAGCTATGGGCGCTGTAGTGCGTGCGCATCCCTGACCGCACCTTGTCGTACAGACCATCGGTTTCTCTGAGACTGGCCAGTGGGAAGTTGCTGTTGCAGCTACTACAGGGGCCCGCGCTGCCTTGGAGGCACATTTGGCTGCAACGTCAAGCAGCGATTCAAGCAGGTCTTCCGGTCTTCCTTGGTATTCCGAGCTGTTCAACGCGGTACTGTTCATTGTTCGTCGCTGGAGGATTGCACATGACCAAAGCAAAGGCGAAGAAGATGGATCCAACCCGTTTGCACACGGTTGACCGCAGAGACAAACGCCACAACTAGCCGAAGATCGCCCAATCCCGTTTGGTTGTCATCCTTCTGGAAGCCATGGAGCTCCTTAGTAGAGGCTCATTTCAGGAGGAAACCAATGATGGCCCGTGGTTGTCGGTGCGTTGATTGCGCTGGACACTTACAGTACGACACATGGGTGTGAAAGCAGCGCGGAGAGGGGAGTCGCGCCGTGTTGTGTCGCCAGACCAGTCGATCAGGCAGTCTCTCTCCCTCTCCCTCCCTCTCCCTCCATCTCCCTCGCCCTCCCTCGCCCTCCCTCCCTCTCCCTCCCTTTCCCTCCCTCTCCCTCCCTCTCCCCCCCCTCCCTCTCCCTCTCTCCCCCTCCCTCCCTCCCTCCCCCGCCCTCCTCCCCCTCCCTCCCTCTCTCCCTCCCTCTCCCTCCCTCTCCCGCCCTCTCCCTCCCTCCCCCTCCCTCCCCCTCCCTCCCCCTCCTCTCCCCCGCTCCCTCCTCCTCCCTCCTCTCCTCTCCCTCTCCCGCTCCCTCTCCCTCGCCCTCGCCCTCGCCTCGGCTCCCTCTCCCTCTCCCTCTCCCTCTCCCTCTCCCTCTCCCTCTCCCTCTCCCTCTCCCTCTCCCGCTCCCTCTCCCTCTCCCTCTCCCTCTCCCTCTCCTCTCCCTCCCCCTCTCCTAACTCCCTCCCTGCTCCCTCTCCCTCTCCCTCTCCCTCTCCCTCTCCCTCTCCCTCTCCCTCTCCCTCTCCCCCTCCCCCTCCCCCTCCCTCTCCCCCTTGTGCCGATACACCCCCAAGGGATACTCCTTGTAAGGAGGTGTATGACCAGTTTATTCCCTAAGGATCAAAGGGCAGCGCCCTGCACACGGACAGTAGTTGTTTTGTCTTGCTACGCAAGGAGAGCTTGTCTTGTCTCAATATGGTAAAACCACTTGAGCCAATGGGCAGCGGAATGTATATGTATGAGCATGCAGCCATTGCTGTAGGTACGTGTTAGAGCTACCCCTTTAGAGGTTTATGGTTTCAAACAGACACTAATTTTCTTTTACCGAAAGCATGGCCGCACATTCACACATATACTATTATGCCCACTGTCACAGTTGCGGAGTTTGGACTCATTATAAAAACAGCATATTATTTATGCTAGGTATAGCACTGAAGTACACTGCTGAGGAAACTCCACTCCTTTTGCGCACACACTCATGCATATTTGTCAGAGAGATCATCTGTACAAGATCAGGTCTGGTGATGTTCTACTACCGAATTATGCAGCCACTCATTGTGCTCTTGTTAGAGCCTTGTGATTCACTGTTGTGAAACTCTGAGAATTTTCTTATCTCAGATTCGGATCCAGGTTTGGATCATAGGCTCGAGCGTAGACATTCGGATGTGGCTCATCCGGGTCTGAGTGGTCTTCTTCGGAACTTGAAAAGATTCCGAATAATCTGTTCTCAGCCCTGGTGAAGGCGGCGTCTGCAGTATCATATCCATGGTTGGATGTTGTCGCCTTTGGCTCGGCCTTTGGCGCAGCTTGTGAGCTGACTGGAGGTGCCTTGGCTTTAGCCGGTTGTGGCTGCTTAGCCTTTGCCCGTTCAGCCCTTCTTCTTTCAAGCTGTCCGTCTGAGGACGCCCATGATCTTTCACTTTCATCTCCTGAGGGAGATAAGGCGTGGGCATAAAGGTTATTCCAGTACTGTGGTGCAGAAGGAGTTAGGACTTCTTCATTGTTAGATTCTGATTGGTCTTCCTCAGAGCTTTGGTCATCAAAGAGTGTCTCGAGGACATTTTTGAGATTGTTATTTCTTCGCTCTATCTCTAGTGAGGAATTGACCAATTGATTAAAGACTGTCCTTGAGTCCTTCAGTGCTGTGAGGAGGATTTCTACTCTGGAGAGAGTATCTTGGATGGTGTCAAGATGTTCCTTTCTTTCCTCCTTGTCTCTCTGGATAGAGCCTCGCAGTGCTTGTGCGATTCTGAGGAGGTCTGTGTATTTCGCAAGAGGCATAGTTACCGTTTGATTGTCATGTATGACAGTTGTTTCATCGCCGCTTAAGTTCCTGAATAGCACTTCCACGATTGGTAGGAACTCCGTGCTCCACGGTTCCTCTTCATCATATGTTTCTACGTGCTGTAGCACGCGTTGTGTAAACTGGCCGGATGCTTCTACCGTTGCATCGATAGAGCTGATGTGTCTTGATACTATGTTTCGACACGTAACGTTAATTGCCTGGCCTTGATTGGCTTGATCAAGTGCAGCGTCTGCATAGGTGCAGAGTCCACTGTTGTGGGCTTCTCTAGCTGCTTTTCGTTGAATACGCCGATTTTGACCTCCTCTTCTGGTAGGACCTTTTGGTCTTGGAGGATCAGAAGGTACTGTTCCTTTCGCCTTCGGCGGAGGACTCTTAGGTGGAGGTGATATGTTAGCCTTGTTAGGCCCTGGTGGCATTACCTTGGGCGCTGATGACGATGCGGCACTTGGAAGTGCAGATGTACCTCTGGCCTTTGCCGTGGATCCCTTAGGGATCGATGTGTAGGTAATCTGCATGGCTTCCTCGGCCATTTGTGCATGCAAGGCATCCTGGAATAATTGTGTCATGTGAGGAGTGTTACTTGCATCATCGTAAGTCTGGAAGCGCTCAATATCTCTTTCGGTGCCACGTGGCCGTGTATCACCTCTTTGGAAAGGATCATTCCTGCGAATCTCCGCAACTTGTACTGCATGAAGGCAGTTTTTGCACAGCACCTTCCTGCAGACATCTCTTGCTTGCTTGAGCTGGTAACAGCTGTCTGAGAGATGGTAGACTTCGCTTCGGGAAGTATGCCAGATAGGTCGCAGATCAGTTGTTTCTCCGGAATTGACCCTGTTGGGTCCTAAATGTTCACGCGTCTGCGGTTCATCCTCGGGTTCGAGGAATGGAACTCTTTGGTTCGCTGCTGCTTTTGATTTTGGTTGTTGGCGCTCCATACATCTGATAGGAGGCCTGGTAATCTGCTTCCACATCCAGTGTAAGCCCATTAGCAGCAGGAACACATTCCACGTGATGCTGAAGACAGAGAAGTCTTGCTCACTGGTTAGTGAGTCTGGAAGTGAAGTCTCGTCAGTCTTGGTAGACTCTGCATTTGCTCCACCTCGGTTGCGGTGTCCGAACCAGCCCGACAACCCCGCTGCTGTAGCAGCTGTTCTGAGTGCCTTGCCGCTCGGAGCAGACGGTGGTCGCGATGCCTTCCTTCTTCTTCTCCGGCTGGAGGATTCGTCCTCTTGTTCCTCTTCATCTCTCTGATCAGACATCAAGTTTGATGTTTCTCTTTCGTGTTCTTCGATGTCACTTTTTGTCGGTGACGGTTCTTCTTCTAGTCCATCCAGCTCTTCCAAAGACATGTTGAGCTTGTCAACAATATTGGTTCTTTGAGGCCTGGACCTTGATCTTGGTAGATCTTGTTCTGAAGAGGACGATGATTCCTGGTTCCTTCTTGGAGGAGGACCTTCAGGCTCGCTGGGACGTTCAGGCTGTGGCCACTCCCAGAATCTTCCATATCTGTGATGGCTACCTTATGGTTGCGATTTGTCGTACCAGCTGTTGCCGGATGAGTAAACGAATGAATCGTTGTAACCCCAGTATTCAGCATTACGCTGCTTGTAAGCCTTTCGCTTGTCAGCGATTGTCTGGACCTGGGCATCTGACCGGTTGTGTTTCCCTTTTGTAAGGATTGGTTGTATCGTGAAGCCCAGTGGGCTATGCCAATCTTTGTCAGTGGGACCCAACCATAGGTCAAGATTAGAGAAAGTTGAATAGTACTGCTTGACTGAAACAAACAGACGGATATCAATATCCCTGTTGTTGTTCGTGTCCTGCCACATATCTGAGATTCGTTCCCAGTATGTTCTTTCAGCGGCAGGTGTGACCTCTCTTGGACTAGGTGACGCCGTGTGCGGCGTTTTACTCCAGTCAAGGATATAACTGTTGATACAGTCAAGGTCAGCACCTTTCTTCGCCGGGTCCGCCGGTAGACGATCTGCACGTGCCAGTCTGTGCTGGTCGGAGTTGTTCAAGCAAAGATGTCGCACTTGTGAGTGCTTTCCTGCTATTCTGTTGAATGCTGCAAGTTTCTTCTCCAGGTATAGAGAAAACAAACTGTTTCGCGGGTGAACGTCTCCACCTTTTAAGGTGAGCCTCGACGCAATATTATTGAGATCTCCCGCTATCACATCCGGTTTAAAAGGGAGAACCTCGTTGAGGAACGCGTTCACCAGTTCGCGTCTCTGTTCTTCCTTATGA